GCAAGGCTGCATCCTCTCACCCAACCTTTTTAACTTGTATGCAGAACACATCATGCGATGTGCGGGGCTGGATGAATGCAAAGCTGGGGTGAAAATGGCTGGAAGAAACATTAACAACCTCAGATATGCAGATGACACCACTCTGATGGCCGAAAGCGAGGAGGAGCTGAGGAGCCTTTTATCCAAGGTGAAAGAAGAAAGCGCAAAAGCCGGGTTGCAGCTAAACATCAAAAAAACCAAGATTATGGCAACAAGAATGATTGACAACTGGGAAATAGAGGGAGAAAATGTGGAGGCCGTGACAGACTTTGTATGTCTAGGTGCAAAGATTACTGCAGATGCAGACTGTGGCCAGGAAATCAGAAGACGCTTACTTCTTGGGAGGAGAGCAATGTCCAGTCTCGATAAAATAGTAAAGAGTAGAGACATCAGACTGGCAACAAAGATCTGCCTAGTCAAAGCCATGGTATTCCCTGTAGTAACCTACGGATGTGAGAGCTGGACCTTAGGAAGGCTGAGCGAAGGAAGAGAGATGCTTTTGAGCTGTGGTGTTGGAGGAAAGTTCTGAGAGTGCCTTGGACTGCGAGAAGATCCAACCAGTCCATCCTCCAGGAAATAAAGCCCGCTGCTCGTTGGAGGGAAGGAGACTAGAGACAAAGTGGAAGTCCTTTGGCCACATCATGAGGAGACAGCAAAGCCTAGAGAAGGGAATTACGCTGGGGAAAGTGGAAGGCAAAAGGAAGAGGGGCCGACCAAGGGCAAGATGGATGGATGGCATCCTTGAAGTGACTGGACTGACCTTGAAGGAGCTGGGGGTGGTGACGGCCGACAGGGAGCTCTGGCGTGGGCTGGTCCATGAGGTCACAAAGAGTCGGAGACAACTGAACGAATGAACAACAAAGGGCCTTTAATCTGAGGCAGCCCCGGCATCCCGTTGGGCACACAGAATTTATGTCCTGTCTACAGTCATATGCACAGGCCCAGCGTGCGACAGCACAGTGAATGTGAACCGGAGAGTGGAAGTGGCTTCCCAAGACAATCTCCACCAAAGCTGCTCCCAAAGAACCAGACACTTAAGAATGTGAAGCATTTCCCAGCCCCACAATAACTGCTCCAGACATGCAAGACATCCCTCATTTAGAGGAAGAAAATCCTCAGCAAACAATGTGAAGTACCCCTTTTAGCACTGAATATCTGATTGTGAACAAGAAAATGGAAGCGAGTCCATTTTAATCCGAATTATGCTCCCATCAGTGCATCTCTTTCCCTTCAGTGAGGGGACACAGGAGAGGTGAAAAGCTCATTAGGACTATATATATTTTGTGAATCCATATTACTGCCTGAGCCATAGCACTAATGTCTCCAAGCTCTATTCCTATTGACAGCTTGTCCTTTTTCTCCTTGTTTTCGTTTTATAAAACTAAACTCCATGAAAATTGCTCAACTCTGCTCCCTGCTCAGTCAGGGGACTTACTGGGCAAGGTTACTTTGGGTTTTGGTTGTCTCAAGGTTGCCTTCCTTTTTCTTTTCTTTTCTTTTACATTTTTTGAAGTCGGTGTGCACTTCACGGCTCTCACTCCCTTGTGCTTTTCTGGCAACGTAAGAGCCAGCATTGTGATAATGCATTCTGTATTGTTATACCATTTTTGCCCATTTTGGAGAAAGTTACTTCTTGGACTGCAACTCTCTACTTTAAGAACTGGACATTTTAAGAACTGTCATCCAAAATATAATTTTTGAAATATGATGATGATTATGCTGGGGAAAGTGGAAGGCAAAAGGAAGATGGGCCGACCAAGGGCAAGATGGATGGATGGCATCCTTGAAGTGACTGGACTGACCTTGAAGGAGCTGGGGGTGGTGACGGCTGACAGGGAGCTCTGGCGTGGTCTGGTCCATGAGGTCACGAAGAGTCGGAGACAACTGAACGAATGAATGACAAATGATGATGATGATGATGATGAAGAGGAAGAGGAAGAAGAGGAGGAAGAAGAAGAAGAAGAAGAAGAAGTAGTAGAAGAAGAGAAGATGACAATGACGATGACTCTGGCACAAGCCAGTAAAGGTGATCCCAGTGGTGATCGGCACACTCAGTGCAGTGCCTAAAGACCTTGGCCTACACTTAAAACACCATCGGTGTTAAAAAACAGAGTGTGGATCGGCAATGTTGTAATCCCAGGCAACATTGAAGAGAAACAACTGGAAAAGCGGACTACAACTCTCTACTTTAAGAACTGGACATTTTAAGAACTGTCATCCAAAATATAATTTTTCAAATATCGATGATGATGATGAAGAAGAAGAAGAAGAAGAAGAAGAAGAAGAAGACGACAATGATGACGACTCTGGCACAAGCCAGTAAAGGTGATCCCAGTGGTGATCGGCACACTCAGTGCATTGCCTCAAGACCTTGGCCTGCACTTAAAACACAATCGGTGCTGACAAAATTACCATCTGCCAGCTGCAAAAGGCCACCTTGCTGGGATCTGGATGCATTATTTGCCGATACATCACACAGTCCTAGACACTTGGGAAGTGTCCGACGTGTGATCCAATACAACAGCCAGCAGAGTGATCTTGTTTGCTGTGGACTCATCTTGTTGTGTTTCAAATAATTTGTTTTTTGTCATGTCAGGAGCGACTTGAGAAACTGCAAGTCGCTTTTGGTGTGAGAGAATTGGCCGTCTGCAAGGACATTGCCCAGGGGACGCCCGGATGATTTTGATGTTTTTATCATCGTTGAGGGAGGCTTTTCTCATGTCCCTGCATGAGGAGCTGGAGCTGATAGAGGGAGCTCATCCACATCTCCCCGGATTCGAACCTGCGACCTGTCAGTCTTCAGTCCTGCCGGCACAGGGGTTTAACCCACTGCGCTACCGGGGACTCCTCAAATAATAATAATAATAATAAGAAGAAGAAGAAGAAGAAGAAGAAGAAGAAGAAGAAATGCCATCAGAGCCAGAATTGAAAAGTCAATGACAGATCCCAAGTGTAGACTCTGCAAGGAAGCAGATGAAACAATAGATCCTATCCTCAGCTGCTGCAAGAAGATCACACAGACAGACTACAGGCAGAGGCACAACACCGTTGCTCAGATGATTCATTGGAACTTGTGCCACAAACACCATCTGCCTGCAACAAAGAGCTGGAGGGATCACAGGCCGGAAAAAGTTACAGAAAATGAACACGTCAAACTATTCTGGGACTTGCAAATTCAGACTGACAAAGTTTTGGAACACAAGACTCCTGACCTCACGATCATGTTAAAAAACAGAGTGTGGATCGGTGATGTTGCAATCCCTGGCAACATTGAAGAGAAACAACTTGAAAAGCTGACACGATACAAGGATTTAAAGATCAAACTGCAAAGACTCTGGCACAAGCCAGTAAAGGTGGTCCCAGTGGTGATCGGCACACTGGGTGCAGTGCCTCAAGACCTTGGCCTGCACTTAAAACACAATCAGTGCTGACAAAATTACCATCTGCCAGCTGCAAAAGACCACCCTACTGGGATCGGCACACATTATTCGCCTATACATCACACAGTACTAAACTTGGGAAGTGTCCGACGTGTGATCCAATACAACAGCTAGCAGAGTGGACTCATCTTGTTGTGTTTCAAATGATGATGATGATGATGATGATGATGATGATGATGCAAAGACTCACACGATATGAGGATTTAAAGATTGAACTGCAAAGTCTCTGGCACAAGCCAGTCAAGGTGGTCCCAGTGGTGATCGGCACACTGGGTGCAGTGCCTCAAGACCTGGGCCTGCACTTAAAAACAATCAGCACTGACAAAATTACCATCTGTCAACTGCAAAACACGGATCTGTATGCATTATTTGCTGATACATCACACAGTCCTAGACACTTGGGAAGTGTCCAACGTGTGATCAAATACAAAAGCCAGCATAGTGATATTGTTTGCTGTGTACTAATCTTGTTGTGTATTAAATAATAATAATAATAATAATAATAATAATAATAATAGTAATATTTTATTTCTATCCCACCCTATCTCCCAGAAGGGACTCATTACCAACGGACATCCGAAGTCTTGGCTGAGGAAATACAGTAAGTAAGTAACAAATAGTGTATTTTTTCACTTTCCTTTAGTTGCCTGCTACATAAAGATACTTAAGGTAACTTGTGCTGGTACGGCTGTACCAGGAGCTCCAAATTTATTTGCTTTGTATTAAATGTTTGCTTGCAGTCCTGGGTTTCAGGGACTCTGCAGATAGGTGGCTTCCTTTGGTTGCAGTCGTAGGGCAAGTCACCTGTCCATCATCGTTAAGTTTTGGTTCCGCCCCTTGCTCAGGGCAATTGGGAAGGGAAGGGAGCCATTTTTAGTTAGTCTCAGCAAGGAAAGCTAATGTACAGGACGTGTGCAAGCTTCCCCTGTACAAAAGCTTCAACCCTTAAGACCTTCCGGGGGAGAACAGTCTTAAGAGCACCCAAAGATTTCCAGGGAAGCAGTCCTAAAGCTTTGAGGAATTTCGGAGGGTGAACAGTTTGGAAGACCAAAGAACTCCAGCTGGACTATATCCAAGCCCTTACTGGTAGGTCCACTCAGTGCTTCGAGACGCAGTTCAACCCGGTAGCGGAGCCCACATCAGTAGGGTTAGATTACAGTCAGCCTGGGAGAAGTTAAAAAGGGGATTTTCCTTTAAAGTAAAGAAGAAGTTATTGAAGACAGTTGCCTGTCCTTCGTGGGCAAGTTTAGGAAGCCACCAGTTGCATAAAAGCCTGGAAGCATTTGTTAACTTTATTGAAGACAAGAGAAGTTTCTGTTTGATTGTTCATTAATAAAGGACTTTGTTATACTTCACAAGCCATCTAAAGATCATTTGTGGTGGAAAACCTCTGAGAACTTCTCCTTGGGCCCCCTGGCTTCCCGCTGGGCAAAGGTTGCACGTCCTGTTCTAAAGGAAATTCTTTACAGGCCCAGCACGCGACAGAACATAACTAGTGAATCTTATACTTTAACAGCTTACCTGTTTGAGAAATAGTCTGGAAGCTGGACGACTTCTGCCATGGCTTCTGGGTTCCTTCTGGCAACACTGCAGATGTCCAGCTTCTTGTAACATTCCTGCTGCACTTCTGAAATCAAGCGCTGAAACGTAGAGCATCTCCGAACGGCAAGGAACACCTTGGACGTGATTCCGCTTGCGATGCACTTCAAGCTCTCCTTGACAAAGCCTTTCCCCTGCCGATTGAGAAGCACATTATGTGCCAGTGAGCGGGTTAAAACACATCGGCATGTAGAAAGCATACTTAGCAACTCACAGCCATGTCTAAACACTTCCAATTTCATGGAGAGGAAGAGGATGACTTGCACACCTAGCACATCCTTTGCCACAAGTGGGTTTCTGTGCAATAAGTATGACTACTGAGAAAGAACCAGCTAACAATAAGGAAAAGATATCCTTGGATGAAATAGGCTGCTCTTCCCTATAGAAGCCAGAGTTCACCTTCCAGGTTCAACTAATTCTGACTCACACTTTCCTACCTTCCCACTTCCAAAATAATAACAGACAAAAGCTATAGTAGCCCCTCCTTCACTCTATGTTTATATTAATGTACACTCTATTTGCATGGTAGATATTAAATTACATTAAAAGGTAAAGGTTCCCCCTGACTTTAAGTCTAGTCATGTCCGATTTTGGGGGTTGGTGCTCATCTCCATTTCTAAGCCGAAGTGCCGGCGTTGTCTGTAGACACCTCCTAGGTCATTTATTTATTATTTATTTCTTGCACTTCTACCCCGCCCTTCTCAACCCCCGAGGGGGGACTCAGGGCGGCTTACAAAAGGCACAATTCGATGCCAGCACAACAACAAGGTAAAAAATAAAACATATATAAACAGTAATTAAAACAATTAAAACAATCCATTATGCATCATACATCAAAATCCATAAAACCAATCTAATGCTCAAGGTTTGCCAGCTCAGAGTCCATGAATTCAATTCCACACTGTCAAGTCCATCAGTTCTAGTCGTCGCTTGTCCTTTATCTGTCTGCCAGATTACCCAAAGGCCTGGTCCCAAATCCATGTTTTTAATTTCCTTCTAAAAGAGAGGAGGGATGTCGATGACCTAATTTCCCCGGGGAGTGAATTCCACAGGTGAGGGGCCACCACCGAGAAGGCCCTGCTCCTCGTCCCCACCAACCTCACTTGTGATAGAGGTGGGGCCGAGAGCAGGGCCTCCCCAGAAGATCTTAAACTCCGAGGCGGGATGTAGAAGGAGATGCGTTCAGACAGATACGCTGGGCCGGAGCCATATAGGGTTTTGTAGGTCAAAACCAGCACTTTGAATTGTGCTCGGAACTGGATCGGCAGCCAGTGGAGCTGAAATAACAGAGGGGTGGTATGCTCCCTGTATGAAGCTCCGGCGATTAATTGAAGTTTCCGAACCGTCTTCAAAGGCAACCCCACATAGAGTGCGTTGCAGTAATCTAAATGGGATGTAACAAGAGCGTGGACCACTGTGGCCAGATCCGACTTCCGAAGGTACGGGCGCAGCTGGCGCACAAGTTTTAATTGTGCAAAAGCTCTCCCGGCCACCGTCGAGACCTGGGGTTCCAGGCTCAGCGATGAGTCCAGGATCACTCCCAAGCTGCGAACCTGCGTCTTCAGGGGGAGTGTAACCCCATCTAACACAGGCTGTAACCCTATGCCCTGTTTGGCCTTACGACTGACCAGTAGGACCTCTGTCTTGTCTGGATTCAGTTTCAATTTGTTAGCTCTCATCCAGTCCAACACAGCAGCCAAGCACCGGTTCAAGGTTTGGACAGCCTCCTTGGTGACAGGTGGGAAGGACTGACAGATTTGGACATCATCTGCGTAGAGATAACACCTCATTCCAAAACTCCAAATGATCTCCCCCAGCGGCTTCATGTAGATGTTAAACAACATTGGGGACAAGATTGAACCCTGTGGGACTCTACACAACAACGGTTGTGGGGCCGAACAGATGTCACCCAGTAACACCATCTGAGACCGTCCCTCGAGAATGACTGCATGGAGTGCCATTACCTTCCCAAGGTGGTACCTATTGATCTACTTACATTTGCACCCCGACTGTGGCGCAGCTGGCTGGGAATCAGCTGCATTAAGATCACTACTGACTGAAAGGTCATGAGTTCGAAGCCATCCCGGGTCGGAGTGTGCTCTGACCAATTTGTGTAGCTTGCTGTCGACCTTTGCAGCACGAAGGACAGTTGCATCTGTCAAGTAGGAAATTTAGGTACCACTTATGTGGGGAGGCTAATTTAACTAATATACGAGGCCATAAAATTCTCCAGCAAGCATGCAAAGAATAAGGAAGTACTACATCACAAATGGACGGTGAAGGGGCAGCTTCCCTGGTGGCCAGAATACCCTCATGAAAAGCTGGAATGTTAAATACCCTCTGAGTATCCATCTATATATGTTGTATGTCTATAGCATTGAATGTTTGCTATGTATATGTACACTGTAATATGCCCTGAGTCCCCTACAGGGTGAAAAGGGTGGAATATAAATACTGTAAATAAATAATAAATAAATACATAAATATGCATATTTTCCAACTGCTAGGTTGGCAGAAGCTGGGGCTAACAGCGGGAGATCACCCCGCTCCCCGGATTCGAACCGTCAGCCTTTCGGTCAGCAAGTTCAGCAGTTCAGTGGTTTAACCCGCTGGGCCATCAGGGAGCCCAATACTATTATATTAAGTTAAAGTAAAGGTTTTCCCCTGACATTAAATCCAGTCATGTCCGACTCTGTGGTGCTCATCTCCATTTCTAAGCCGAAGAGCTGGCATTTTCCGTAGACACCTCCAAGGCCAGCATGACTGCATGGAGCACCGTTACCTTCCTGCCTATTGATCTACTCACATTTGCATGTTTTCAAACTGCTAGCTTGGCAGATGCTGGGGCTAACAGTGGGAGCTCACCCGCTCCTTGGATTGAACTTGTGACCTTTCAGTCAACAAGCTCATCAGAAGATCAATCCCGACAAGACAGAGGTCCTCCTGGTCGATCATAAACTGGATCGGGGTATATAGGGTGGCAACCTGTGCTGGACGGGATTACACTCCCCCTGAAGTCACAGGTCCGCAGTTTAAGCTACTGCACCACCGGGGGCTCCATTATTACATTAATGGAGTGTAATTTCAAACATGGAATAGGAGCAACTGCCAGGCTCGCTCCTTTACATCCACTAATTGTGCCTGGGATGTCAATGGGATCGAGTGATGATCTTCCCCCAAAGATTGTAGATTTCAAGCAGGTTTGTATAGGGAGATATGGTCCTTAAGATACATGGACCTGACCTCTATGGTACTTCGAACTGTGCCTGGAAATGAACTAGCAGTTAATGGAATGGTTGTCAGAAGGAAATGGTATGCTCCATGGGTGCAGCTCTTTGGACCAAATCACAAGTTTGCACAATTTTCAAATGCCATGTAACACATTTTTTGTGTTATAAATGTCATGTTCTAATTGGTTCTATCATAAAAACATGGAAAAGGTTTATTAAACTGCAAAAAACTTTTTGTGTGACATCCTGCAGCATATTTTACTATACAATTTTCCTAGTTTCCAAAAAACCTCACAACCTCTGAGGATGCTTGCCACAGATGCAAGCAAAACGTCAGGAAAGAATGCTTCTAAATCCTGGTGCGGTTTGGAAGACTTTGGACCATGGGTGATGGGAACTGCAATATCTTCACTCACTTCCTGAGACCACTGCAACCCTCACCAATGACTGATCAAGACCAAACTTGGCATGCAGAGCCCCCATGACACACTCTACATCCTGGTGTGATTTGGAAGTGGATGGACAATGGATGATGGGAGTTGCAGTACCTCCACTCACTTCCTGAGACCACTGCAACCCTCACCAATGACTGATCAAGACTATACTTGGCACACAGAGCCCCCCGTGATCCACTCAAATCCTGGTGCTGTTTGGATGAGGATCTGGCTCTGCTCACCCAAGACAGCTTCCTAGCCCTCAAAGAATCTGACTCTTCTTGCCAACTTCCGGATTAGGAGCAGTTGTGAGAAAGAGAACTCACTTCCTTTCAAAAGGGAAATTTCCTTCTACGCTTGACACAAGGCAGCAGGTGCCAGGTCGTCATGTACAGCAGGTGGAAAATGTATTATCACACAACTGCTTTGGCTAACAGTTGCCATATAAAAAAGCGTATTGTTGAAGGCTTTTGTAGCCAGAATCACTGGGTGGCTGTGAGTTTTCAGGGCTGTATGGCCAAGTTCCAGAAGCATTCTCTCCTGATGCTTCGCCTGCATCTATGGAAGGCACTCTCAGAGGTTGTGAGGTCTGTTGGGAACTAGGAAAATGGGGTTTATATATCTGTGGAATATCCAGGGTGGGAGAAAGAACCATTGTCTGTTTGAGGTAGAGTGAATGTTACAATTGGCCAGCTGGATTAGCCTTGCAGCTTCAAAGCCTGGCTGCATACTGCCTTGGGGAATCCTTTGTTGAGAGGTGTCAGCTGGTCCAGATAGTTTCATGTCTGGAATTCTCCTGTTTACACAGTGATATTCTTTATTTACAAATACTGGTAGCCAAATTTTGCTCATTTTCATGGTTTTCCAACAGACCTCACAACCTCTGAGAATGCCTGCCATAGATGCAGGCGAAACATCATGAGAGAATGCTTCTGGAACATGGCCAGACAGCCTGGAAAACTCACAACAACACGGATTCTCCCAGTCTTGAAAACGTCCTCAAAGACAGCACAAAAGTGTGTGCATCCCTTGGGAACTGATGCAGCAGTGGCAACTGCACGGCCCTCCATGTGAATGCAATTTCCAGCATTCCTCAATGATGGGAGTTGCAGCAGCCCAAGTGTATCCAAAAGACCACACAAGGGTGATCCGCTCACTTTTATCGCATCCATCCACACTGAAGATGTCTCTGAAATGTTTACTGGAAGCCAGCTGGAGGACTTCACACACTGGCATGCAGCTATTGTATATCAGTCAACAAATCTGCAAGCACTTAAATGTGTGCAGATTGGTCTTTGGAGAAGACACAGCTGAGAATCACCCGGCATGCAACCAGTTATTCAGACAGTTAGGACTGTGCAGTCGAATGGGAATAGCCACCAGACGAAGGAGTCCCCTGCGGGGTGTGAATCATAGAATCAAAGAGTTGGAAGAGACCTCATGGGCCATCCAGTCCAACCCCATTCTGCC